GAATCAAGAGTAACCTCATTTTAATTTCTATTATATCCACTTTGAACAAATAGTCCCATCAGTATGCCTTAAACATATTTCTGTATGCACTGTCAATGTATGATAAGATTGTACACTTGTGTGTTTTTGCTTTTATATGAAAATACCAAAAAAAAAAAAAAAAAAGGAATTATTTGGAAATCTGTCCCCATAACTGCCGGTATGTGAAAGCTAGATTTTTGTAAAGTAAAGCAATGTCATTCCACCAGATGTCACTGTTTGCATGTAGCAATGAAGTCACAATGATTAAAAATACAATCCCCCCAATCATATTTTGTAAAAAAAATTGTATGTAATTATACATTTACTCTTCTATAGACTTTTTATTAAGATTATATCTTCTGATCTCTTAAGATCATACAAAATACTCATATGCCTCTGCTGTAGACTAAAACAAATTATACGAGGCTGAAGAAAATTATTTGTAGATTAGCATTTTCAAGAAGACAAACTAAAGTTTTGGTTTTTTTTTGCAGACCTAGTAGTCTTCTTTTTAGACAACATTATCTGTAAGTTAATGTTTTACAAATTGTGGACTGACACCCAATGAGTGCATTGTGAAATCAGTTTAGTGGTTTGCCATAAGCACTTTTGAAAAATGGTATCTAGAATAGAACACTCCATTGCATGCGAGAATTACTTCGGTGAGACTTTTGTATGTGAACACTCTTAAAATTTCCGTGAATTAACTAAAAGTGATTGTTCCATTTAGGGAAGCTCAGACTTTTGTACACAAAGGAGCAAAATAAATTTGCTAAGAAAGTGAAGCTATGATGAAGAACTTCTCTTGTTAGTGTCATCCTAAACTGGGGAGAATTGCTGGAGGGAGACCCCCTTTTCCATACTTCACAAGATGTAGCTTACAATCTCTTTTATGTAACTCATAGAAGATGTGTGCAGAGATATTTTAAGAGTGCTCACAAGGCAGGCGTGGTAGCTCATGACTGTATTCTCTGCATTTTGGGAGACTGAGGCAAGAGGATCACTTGAAGTCAAGAGTTTGAGACCAGCTTGGGCAACAAAGTTAGATCCCAACTCTGCAAAAAAATAGAAAAATTAGTCAGGCATGATGGTACACACCTGTAGTCCCAGCTACTTGAGAGACTGAGGCAAGAGGATCACTAGAGCCCAGGAGTTCGTGCTTGTGGTGAGTCATCCTTATACTACTGCACTCCAGTCTGGGTGACAGAGTGAGACTCTGTCTCAAAAACAAACAAACAAAAAAGTGCTCACGGCTTAGAATAAATGTTTTCCAAACTTTTTTTTTTTTTGAGTTGGAGTCTCACTCTGTCACCCAGCCTCGATCTGCTGGGCTCCAGCGATCCTTCTGCCTCAGCCTTCCAAGTAGCTGGAACTACAGGCGCACGCTACCACGCCCGGCTAATTTTTGATTTATTGTAGAGATGAGGTCTCGCCAAGTTGCCCAGGTGGGTCTCAAACCCGTGGGCTCGGGCAATCCACTCACCTCAGCCTTCCAAAACGCTGGGATTACAGGCGGAGCCACCAAACCCGGCTCCCCAAACTTTTAAAATAGCAATGTACAATAAGATATACATTTTCTATCTCTGGCCCCATGAGAGACTGATGTTGACCTGGAATGAAGTTTAATTTTTACTCTGAGAGAGGTGGATTTGTTTCCTTCATTCAACCCCTCCATTGATATTAACAATAATGATTGTAACATCAATCACTTACTTAACATGTACTGTGTTCAAAGTTCTTCACATACGTTATTTCTAAACATTTGACTCTGAAAGACCCAATTGCTGTTGCCATTCATAGGTGAGGAAACTGAGACTTAGGAAGGAAACACAGCACAGCAAGGGACCAAAATCCTGGTTTTTTACCTTGTTCCAAAGGCTTCCTCATTCTCCCATGATCACTTTTAGGCTTCCCTGAGGATAAAGGCCATACGGGATGTGTGATAACCAACATCAACTCCAAGACTTTAATCCAAGCCTACAGCATTAGAATGTCCAGAGGAGGCATCTGGGAAGCTGTAGATTTGTCAGGCATCCAAGGATATTATCAGGATGCTTTAGGAAAGATTATAATACTTCAGCGGTTCTCGATCTTCAGAGTGTATCAGAATCACCCTTCAGGGCTGGTTATAACACAGATAACTGAACCCCATCCCCTGAATTTATGACTCTTTAGCTCTGTGGGACTCAATAATTTGCATTCCTAACAAGTCCTTATGTGATGCTAATAATGTTGGATAGGGAACATACTTTGAGACTCACTGTAGTGTCTTAGGCTGACCCAAAATTCTCAGTTCTCCAAGGCAGAATCTGAGGTTGGCTTTGGCTGCGAGACTTTTCTTACTCAGCTAAAATAAAACAATATTTATTCACTGTGGCCCTCAACCCCACCGTGGGGTGGGGGCAAGGGTGGGAGGGTCATGCTCGTTGACACTCTTGCACTCCTCCTCCCCTAATTAAAAAAAAAAAAAAGAAAGCATTCAAGTCCTTGGGAAAATGAAAATGAATAACTGTCACCCCCCCAAAAAACCTATGACCCGCTGTGAAAAAGATATTCAGAGTAGAATGAAGTGTATTCTATAAAGAAAAAGTAGATAAAATGCAGCAGAAAACTAGGACGGCAAAGCTGAATTTCGACTGGGCAGAGGAGGATTTGTAAAGGACTCGTGAAGGAGTTGAGATCTGAAGGCCTTGCCCTCATCATTTATCATAGTCCCTCTGTACTGTATGTCCCTATAGGTTTGCCTCTCTCCCCTATTGTCCCTGTAGTAATCCCAGAACCTAGGGCACCTTAGCATAGTGAATGTAGCTTGAATGAGGGGTTGGGGGAAGTAAGCAGGGTTGGCAAGGTATCTGGTGCTCAGACTGTGGAGGACTCTGACTTCCAGGTTCAAGAGCTTGAGTTATACTGTGTGTGTAGTAAGGATCAGCAAAGATGTTATCACAGGACTCAGGTGAGAAAAGGTGTCATGGACAGGAGAGACACTGTGGAAGAAGAATTAACAAGAAGGATGATTACCGTGGGGAGTGAGAGGGTTTGAAGATGGAGAGATTTTCAGTCTGAACCACAAGAGTTAGTTTTATTCTCTGGAAAGAAAGGGAAACAGGGACAATATGGAGAAAAATTTCCAAGCAAGTGATTCATCTTTGTCATACAGGAGCAAACAGCTAAACTTGGGTAGCCTTTCCACTAAGGTCTCTATTCATATCTAACCAGAGCTATGCACTCTAGAATGTCCAATAACCTCCTCCACTTACTTTCCTTCCAACCAACCCAAATGTCTGTTTCTTTAGTGTGCTTTTGGGATGTAAAAGGGTAAAAAACCAAAATCCTAATACCCTGTTTTTGACTCAGAGCCAGAGAAGAGCACAGCAGTTCCTCTAGAAAGCTCCCTTGGTCATCCTTCTCCTCATCGCCATCTCCCTTTCCTCTGAACCTGATCTTAGAAATGCTTTATCCCAATATATGTATTCTCTTGAATTCAGTTGATCTTAGAAATACTTTATCCCAATGTATGTATTCTCAGGATTCAGTTGAAGAAAGCAGAAATATCTTTAGCTATTTAAAGCAGAAAGGGATTTGGTGATGGGAATTTAGTGCTTTTAAATTGGAAAATGGGCATGAGGCAGTGAGGGCTTCTAGAGATGACTCACATGGTGTGCTTAACTGGCTACCAAGGAACTGCTCCTTTTTGGCACAGTCAGGAAAGTGGGAAATATGGAAGCCAACAGTGGTAACATAACACCTTTGCTGAGAGTCAGGGATCAGGAGGCCTCTGTTGGGACAGCTTTTGACTCTCTGGAACCACTGTGTCTGTTTGATATGCTCACTAGCCAGAGAGAGAGAGAGAGAGAGCGAGAGAGAGAGAGAGAGAGAGAGAGAGAGAGAGAGAGAGAGAGAGAGAGAGAGACAAAAGAAGTTACTACTGCAGAAGAATTTGATGCTTGCATGCCTTTACTTGCCAATAGAAACATCAGTACCTTCTGCCCTCTAAATTGTATATGACTGCATCTGGCTAGTGGATCCTAAGTCATATTTAGAACACTAGCTGCAGGACAGTTTTTACTTCTTCATCTTTGACAGTTCAGAAAAGCACATTAGAAGGATAGAATGGGTGTTGAATGGCAGTGGTACTCACCTTAATAGGAGTTGAGTATTGACTTCTCTTTGAAATCAGGCATTTGACTAGGTAAGATGGGAAGCTAGATTCATGACGCTACTTTGGCAAAGCCATATCGTTTCTAGCCTGGCTCTGGATGAGTCTACTTAAGAACTGAATTTGAAGTTTTCAGCGTATCATTAAGCAACTAAAGTCAGTTATGTTTGTGTAGGCTTAGTTATGGTGACACATAAAGTGATTATCTTTTCATATATTATTTTGTATAAAAAAGAGGGAACTATCGCTAAATAGTTCCATGTGAAATTAGTATATCTATAGTTTGTATAGGCCCACTTTATGTTCATTTATGTTTATTGTACAGCAAGTGTTGTACAAAAGTTAATGTATTTTTAAGCAGTCTATAGGTTAGTAATTAATGATAAATTTTACTTTCAAATATTACTTTTGATTTATCTCATTTATTTTGTTTACTTAAGACTTTTATTGATAAATTTTTTTCCTCCTATATATATTCTTATGTATATAGCTGTTTTTCCTTTTTTTGCAAGCTTGGGATAGGTAGAGATCAGAAGGAAGAAAACTTTTTGCCTCTCTTGTAATTAGACTTTCATAGAATTCATTTATTATCCAATATAGTGAAACAAAATCCTATAAGGTGACCACTAAAATGTAATTAGAACCAAACATGCATTATTTTTAGATCATTTTTCATTTTAGATTATCTAACATCTCTACAATATTTAGGGCAGATGTCAAATGTCAAAGTGTTTATTTCAGCAGAGATATGAAATGAAGACAAGTATTTTTTTTACTTTATCAACTACTTAGGAAAATCAATTTTTTAAAAATCACATTGTAGAATATTATATGGAATTCCTGTCATGAATGACAACCAAGATTATGTTCATGCTCCTTCAACACCACCAAGGATATTACCTGAATTGGCACGAGGAACTACGCAGCATGCTCACAAACCACAACTGAGAGTCTTGGGAGAGGAAGTAAGTACTTTCCTTAATATTCATTTTTTCTGTGTCACAGGTTCTCAAACTTTTTGTTTCAGCATGTTTTTTCACTCTAAAAGCTGTTAAGGACTTCAAGAATTGTTTATGTGGGTTTTATCTATTAACATGTACAATGTTAGAAATTAAAACTGAAAAAATTCTTAAATATTTATTTATAAAAAATAGCAGCCATTGCCTGAGCCCACGGGTTCGAGACCCACCCGGGCAACTTGGTGGGCCCTCATCTCTACAATAAATTAAAAAAATTAGTTGGGCATGGTAACACATGCTTGTAGTTCCAGCTCCTTGGAAGACTGAGGCGGAAGGATTGCCAGAGCCCAGCGGTAAAGGCTGCAGTGGCCGGGAGAGTGTCACTGCACTCCAATCTGGGTGATAGAATGAGACTCCAACTCAAAAAACAAAACAAAACAAAAAGCAGTCATAAAGGCCTATGTGTTCACATAATGTATTTTTATGAAAAGTAATTAAATTTTGAAAACAAAATATTTGGTGAGAAAACTAGAATTCTTCCCCCCTCTCTAAATCTCTTTAATGTCTGCTTTAATAGAGGACAGATGAATTTTTATGTCTGTTTCTGCATTCAATTTGTGGTAGTTTGTTTTGGTTGAAATATATGAGAAAAATTCAGCCCTTACAGATATCTGTAGTTGGAAAAGTTAAATTATTTTAATAGTCTTTTAAATATAATTGTAAATATTATTCTTTGATAATACACCAAAACTTAACACATGGTGGTTTTTTAAAAAATTTATTTTATCTTAAAGATGTGGAGTACTATTCAGGACTAGGTATACAAGTGGTCATTGTATGTGGTAGTTTCTTGAAAGTTAGTTGCCAGACTTCCACTTCTGGGGAAGATGGAAGAGAAGCACTTTTCCGTATTCTTTCTGCTAAATACAACTAGAAACTCTGGACATTACAAACATTAGAAGTCTCTGAAAGGTGGAGAGGAGGAGACACTCTATCTAGGAACTTTGGGACCCAAAGATGGCATGGTGCTGAGTTAGTTCCCTGGGCTTTGTTTTTTGCTTCATATGTCCTAGACTTCAGCTGAAAAAGCTGGCAGTATGAACATACCAACAGTTAAGAAAAAAAAAAAAAATCCCCAACAAAAGTTTGCTATTTCTAGCCAAAGAGCCAGGAAAGATGTAGCATAGTAACACTGACAATTTTTAGACAAATAATTTCTCTACACTGGTCAAACACCACAGAAAAAACTGTAGCCTCACCCCTACCTCCACCAGTAAAGCCCTACTTGGAAACCTAAACTTCTATTCTTGTCAGAGTTCACAAGGCACTCCAACACCTTTGCCAGGATGGTGTCTGAAAAGGCTGTGACTTTTACCTTAATAGAGTGGTGTGAGGTTTCCCCTCTATGCTGTCAGTTGTGTTGACATTTCTATGAAAACTCTAGGCAATGCAATAATGCAAGAAAAGGAAAGAAAAGCATGCAGATCAGAAAGAAAGCAATATAATTGCCCCATTTGAAGATGATATAATTGTCTACATAGGAAATTCTGAAGAATCTATGAAAGAAAATGTCACAGAACTAATAACTGAGCTCAATAAAGTCACAGGACACAAGATAAACATAAACAACTCAATTGTATTTCTATCTGTTGAATACTCGAATGCTGAAATTAAAGCTATGAAAACATGTAGAGGACTTAGATGCTGAAAACTACAAAATGCTGATAAAAGAAATCAAAGCGACTCATATAAATGAAGAGATTTCATGCTTATAGGTTAGAAGAATCAACACAGTAAACATGTCATTTCTTCCCAAGTTGTTATACAAGTTTAATGAAATTCCTGTCACATTTCCAGAACTACTTTTTTTGTAGATGTAAACAGGAGTATTCTAAATTTACATGAAAATGCAAAGGAACTAGAATAGCTAAAACAGTTTTGAATCAGAAGAATAAAATGGGAGGAATCAGGTTACCCAATTTCAAGACTGATACAAGTCTCAAGATTATAGTGAGATATCACTATAGAATGGTTAAAAAATGGTGGCAACAACAAATGCTAATAAGGATGTGGAAAAACTATATTACTCATGTGTTGTTTGTGGGAAGGTAAAATTGTGTAGCCCTCTAGAAAGCAGTTTAGCAGCCGAAAATAAAACAAACGAAATAGGCAACTCTCATATGACCCAGCATTTGTATGCCTGGGTATTTGTCTCAGAGAAATGAAAGTCTGTGATCACAATATAACTTGCATACAAAAGTTTATAACAGCTTTATTCATAAAAGTCAAACTGGAAACACTCTGGATATATTTCAGTGGTTTAAGAAGACTTTGGTATGTCAGGACCATGGAGTACTACTCAGCAATAAAAAGGAATTAAGTATTAATACATGCAACAACACTAAATCTTCAGAGAATTAAGCTGAAAAAAAAAAACAATGCTGAAAGATTACATACCGTTTCTTGAAATGACAAAACTATAGAAATGCAGAACAGAGTAGTGGATTCAGGAGGGCGATTGGGATGAGTGTGGCTTTAAAGAACAAGAAGGATCTTTGTGATGATGGAAATATTGTATCTTGAGTGTTTCAATGCCAATATTCTATTTATGATATTGTACTATAGTTTTGAAAGCTGTTACCTTTGAAGTCAACTTGGTAAAGAGGGGGTAGAATATCTTTGTATTATTTGTTAAAACTGCATGTGAATTTACAATTATCTCAACTTAAAAAGCTTTATACAAAAAATGTGGTTGGTGAACCAGCAAATAAAAAAAAGTAGAAAATAAAAATTAGACTTCATTAAAAAGAGAATGCATTGTATGATAATTCGTACAACTAAAAAATGTTTGTTACAGTTGAAGTCTGAAACCATATCAATAATGTTTTCATACCTTATTACATTAAAATCTTTGGTTTATTTTGTACTTTGAATGGACATTTTACCCATGTGTGACTTTTTTTTTCTTCTTAAGTTGGAGTCTTACTGTCGCCCAGACTGGAGTGCAGTGGCCGCTCCCAGCCGCCGGAGCCTCGACCTGCTGGGGCTCCGGTGATCCTTCCGCCTCAGCCTTCCAAGTAGCTGGAACTACAGGCGCACGCTACCATGCCTGGCAAATTTTTTTTTGATTTATTGTAGAGATGAAGTCTTGCTGCCCAGGCGGGTCTCGAACCCGTGGGCTCAGGCAATCCACTCACCTCAGCCTCCCAAAGGCGTGGGATTACAGGCTGAGCCACTGAGCCCAGCTCATGTGTAACTTGTTAACATCATGCGTTATTTGGAAAACATTCTTCATCGAATTATGTAGCTCTTCAAATGTTAATATATTTCACTATATACACAATACAAAAATAACTTATTTTAATATTGTCAGAAAAGTCTTTAGCATTGGGAACCTGGCAGGGTCATGGTGAGGGACCCAAATTTTCCAAAATTCTAATTTTTGCTTAAAAGTTCAATTTTTTTTTTCATTGGTACAAATACACTCAAGTGTTTTATTTGAAGTGAGAAGTTTGCTCATTCCTTTTCAAGAAAAAGCTTGGAGCATACATCTCAGTAACTGTGGTTTGATGTTTGTTTCTCAAATAAAACAGTGCCTAATTCATTTCACAACTCAAACAATAGCACACATGTTTTTCCTCAAATCCACCAATCCTCCTTCACTATGGCCACAGAAACATTTTGTGTGTATTTCTCACTTAATCACATGAAATGTCTTTATGTATTTAAAGGTAGAAATTTAATAAAATTAACAGTTTTCCCTGCTCCTGATGAGCATTTTTAAGTTGCTGCTGTCTTGATTCATGCTTTGATACTGTCCATTTTACCTTTCTTTTTTTTTCTTCTTTTTTTACCATCAGTGCAAATGTCAGCACAGTGAAAAAGGCAAATAACTTTCCCCAGTGTCTCAAACCAAATTTTGAAAACTGATGTTCTGCCTTATATTTCATTTATATGAAGCACAACTTACCCCTGAAACTAATTTGCATGTCTCTCTCTTAGTGAACAGAATATTCTGACACCTTGGATGTCAGTATGTCAGAATGAACAAGAGTTATTGTATTGGGTTGTCATATACCTCATGGCCTTAGGGGTTGTGTAGGTGCTGTTAAACAGTAAATTAATCTAGGATGCTTCAGAGCTATTAATAGTAATTTAGTTTTCTATGCCATCTCTAATCTCCCACCAAGTTCTGACAACCACCAGTCCTGCTATTTCTAATCATTTTCTTAGAATTCTTTTTAGAAATTTCCTGGCCGGGCTCGGTGGCTCAGACTGGGCTCGGTGACTCGGCCTGTGATCCCAGCACTTTGGGAGGCCAAGGTGAGAGGATTACCTGAGTCCGCGGGTTCAAGACCCACCTGGGCAACTTGGTGAGACCTTATCTCTACAATAAATCAAAAATTAGCCAGGCGTGGTGGTGCGTGCCTGTAGTTACAACTACTTGCAAGGCTGAGGTGGAAGGATCACTGGAGCCCAGCAGGTCGAGGCTGCGGTGGCCAGGAGCGTGCCACTGCCCTCTAGTCTGGGTGACAGAGTGAGACTCCAACTCAAAAAAAAAAAAAAAAGAAAGCAAGTTCTTAGCATTGCTGGGGAAACCAATTTATCATGATTTGTCTTTCCTTACTGGTTTAATTTGATAAATTATCTTCTAAAAGTGCACCTGTACTTTTCCTTGAGAGCAAAATGCTGTTGTTCAGTGATAGTTTTCTCGCCCTTCCCACATAGGGGCTTGTAGATACAAGTCTACAAGCCTACAAGCTTACTTCTAGGGCAATAATTTCATTCTGGATGCTTAAGCTGATGGAAAGCTACCTACTACACAAGAGGAATAACTGTAATGTATGTGACATATCATTTGAATACCCCAAATCCTCTTAATTTCTAGATGATCTTTGGAAGAAGAGTTGTCCGCTGAATTTGGAAGAGTTTATTCATCTTTTAGCAAAATTTTTTTGGCTCCAGGTCTATACAGCGTGCCCAGAAAAACAGGACAAGCGAGACCAAAAACTTAAATTTGAATTATTGTGTTGGACAAATTACCTGGCAACTGCAAAATCTGCCTTTCTCAAAATGCTGCACTCTGTTAGGAGATAGGAAACATGAGATCAAGTATGTGGAATAGTTGAGGATTATATCTCTGACTAAGAATAAAGGTGCTCAAGATTCAATGACACCTTATAATTGTAAATCTTTATTTACTGGGTTTGGCCAGTATTACTCTAGAAAGTTTGCATAATGCCCACACTCCAGGAGATGTCACTGATAAGAGTTCATAGCTTATGAAAGAGTAATTTTGTAAGTTGATGCTTTAAAATTCTCTGAGTTCATTTTTCTGGTGAAAGACAAATCTTTTGAGGGAAAATGCATAATCCAAATTAAAATTCAATAAAAACATTAAAGAAAGCATAATTATCAATAATATTATGGACTCAAAAGGCTATTGTTTTAAAATTATACCACATTTTCTTCAAGGTCTTGTCATGAATATCTGTTTTTTCACTTGTAACTATTTTTAATAATTATTCTTTCTCTTTACTGTTTATTATTATTATTTTACTGACAATAAACTTTATTTTTTAGATTAGTTTTAGAGTTACAGAAAACTTGCAAAGACTACATGGAGGTTTCTCCTATATCCCGCACTGTTTCTACTATTATTAATATAGGAATAGTGGGTCCCCAAAAGATATAACCCACAGTGCCTGGTGATGTGCCCTTATTTAAAAATAGAGTTTTTACAGATGTAATTAAGTTAAGGATCTTGAGATTTGAGATCATCCTGGATATAGGGTAGGCCTTAAGTTCAATATGACTAGTGTCCTTATAAAAGGAGACTACTGCTCAGGTGCGGTGGCTCATGCCTAATAATCCCAGCACTTTGGGAGGCTGAGGTGATAGATTGCTTGAGCCCAGTAGTTCTAGCCTGGGCAGTATAGTGAGACCGTGTCACAAAAACAAAAACAAAAACAGAGAGTGAGAGCGAGAGCACGAGCACACCATGGAACACACACAGACACACAGAGATAAACAGGAGGGAAGAAGGCCATGTGCCAACAGAAGCAGAAATTGGATGGTGATGCAGCTGCAGACCAAGGAATGCCAAGGATTGCCTGAAGTCGCTAGAAGCTAGGAAGAGGCAAGGAAGAATTCCTCCCTAAAGTCTTTAGAGGGACTATGACCCTCTATTCTTCTTGATTCTAGAACTGTGAGAGAATAAAAAGTTTTGCTAATTTAAGCCATCTAGTGGTAATTTGTTATGGAAATGTATACAATATTTGCAAAAATTAGTGAACAAATATGGATATGTTATTATTAGCTAAGGTCTATACTTCATTCAGATTTTCCAGGTTTTTAGTAATGACCTTTTTCTGACCCAAGAGCTCATCAAGGGTATCATATTACATTTAGTCTTTATGTCTCCTTTTATTCTTAGACTTTCCTTGTTTTTGATGACTTTGACAATTTTGAGGAGTATTGGTCAGGTATTTTGTAGAATGTCTCCGAGTTGGTATTTGCCTGATTTGATTAGATTATGTGATTTTGGGGAGGAAGACCACTGAGAATAAAAGTGCCATTTTCATCATATATCAAGGGTATATACTGTCAACATGACTTATCAATGTTGATGTTAACCTTGATCATCTGCCTAGGTGGTATTTACCAGGTTTCTTCATTTAGAGTTTCTTTTTTTCCCTCTTTCCATATTGTACCCTTTAGAAGGAAGTCACCGTGCACAGCCACGTTAAAGAATTGAAGAGTTATGCTCTACTGCATTGAGGGCAGAGTATCTACAAAGATTAATTAGAAATCTTTTGATCAGAAAGTGTTTATTCTTTTCATTTATTTATTCAGTCATTTATTTATATCACTATGATTCATGGATATTTGTTATACTTTAATTATAATCCAATATTACTTCATTATTATTATTGCTATTATTATTAGTTTCGCTAAAATTGTTAAAAAACTTTGGCCATTGGAAACTGCTTCAGGTCTCTTTGACATATTCCATCACTGTGGGATTTTTTTGGACACTTTCTTAATTTTTGGAAGCATAAGATATTCCAGGCTCATCTTATATATTTCTTGCCCTAATCCCAGAACTAGAACCAGCTATTTTTACAAGGATTCTTACCTCCCTTTAATGGATAATGTTATTAGAAAGCAAGATCTGAGTAGTGTGTACTTGTTGTACTGAGCGTTGTCAGCTGACAAAACAAAGGAAACACATGTGTGGATACTAGTACAAATATACATATCTGTATGTAAATATCTATGTCTATATTAAGCTAAATATGAGTTCATACTGATGTCTCCAACTCTAATCCATTATCTTATGGGTCACTCTAGCTTCCTCCCTTATCTGTAAACTCCCACTCCAATAGTGACAAATCTGGCTCCCACCATCCTCTATTGATGTATTTAATTTTTCAATGCCAGTAAACACGTGTAGAAGTACCAGAATTGTTAATCCATACTCCTGTGGGATACAACTTTATTACCCAACATACAGCCTATATAAACTGTTTTTGTTGCCTTTAGTTTTATTTATGCTACTCATTACCAAAGTAACTAAGGCAGGCATCCTCCCCCCTCCCCCCCACCTTGGGTGAGATTGTTTCATACATTTGTAATACAGTTAGATTGTTTTGTTACATTCTGATTCTCACTCTGGGATTCCTTCTGACCTCCTAAATACTTTTAAAAAAATGTGTATTACAGATGAGATTGGACACATTCAGGGTGGTAATCCATAGACATAAATTTGAATTGCATTAAAATCTACACTTTTTTTGGCAAAATATAATATGTCTTGTAGCCACAATTCCAGTGTCATACATAATAGTTTCACATCCCTAATCTAGGCCTGATTAATTTTTATTTGGAACAGAAAAATGGAAACCAAACTAACAAACACCTGTGACACGTCGTTAAAAATTTGTAAATGTTAACATTTTGTTGTACGTTTCAATTTTTTAAAAATAAAAATTACCAAGTCCTTTTGTAACTCCATTTCTCTTCCTTCCTACCCAAGGGTAGTTACAGTTACAATTGCAGTCTTTCCAGTTCATGAGTTTATACTTTACTAGTTGTAGTTGTGACCCTAAATAACAAATACTAAAGTTTTCTGTGTTCCAGATACATTTACATACATAATACAGTCTTGTGTGCATCTTTCTAAAATTTGCTTATTTTATTCTCAATACCAGGCTTCTAAGATCCTCTCTGGATCATAATTTTTATGTTTTAATGGCTTTATAGTTTTAACTATATAAACATATCATATTTTAAGTTTATTAGTGGACATTGAGATTAGGTTTTGTTTTTTGCTATTTCATATGCTCTGTTAATAGCCTGTACACATCTCCTCATGCATGTGTATGAAGATTTGCTTAGACTATTATAGCTGGAAGTGAAATTGCTGGAACATGTGGCAAGTACATTTTCCATTTTCTTAGAAATTGCCGGTTTGCCTCCCGTGTGTTCTATCAGTTTGCCTACATCCTTAGCATCACATCCTAGCATCAGTTGCTGGCTTTACATTTTTACTAATCTGATGGGTTTTCCCAGATTTTCAGAGGCTGTGAAAAATGGTTTTCCCCAGATTTTCAGAGGCTGTAGAACCAATCAGGTTACTTTCTCAGCAACTAAAAACAATTTTTACAGGAGTTTGGGTTTTTACCCTAGGGGGTATATGCCACAATTTCTAATAACCTTTTATGTTCTTTTCAAAGGTGTGTGCTTATCCAGAATTTACGAAGTTGTTTTGGAATACAGCTGCGCCCAAATTTTCTGTTCCAGAATCTGTCATGAAGGAAACGCTGTATCCAAAATATGAGGTAACATACTGAATGAGTTTTCTTTGTAATTGTTGTTGATTTTATTTAATAATTAAGTTGTCTTACTGATTATGACATTAAATTTTACTGGACAGTTGTTATATAAATTGTCAGACAACAATTTCGACAATAAGGATTGATTGGATGGCAGTATATAAACCTACATGTATTTATATACAGAACTAATTATTATATGTATGTATCTACATATATAACCTATACTTATAAATTGTATGTTTATATATTCGTACAATAACTATAATTTTATACATTTAAAAATGTTATACTTATCCATGTTACTTTAGTCAGTTAAGAAGAATATCCTGTTTTCTTTTTGAAAGGATATTTTATTTGATAATTCAAGATGTAAAGCTACTGGAGTTATGGCTTTGTGGTATTTTCATTTGCTTTTAAAAGTGCATTTTTAATTAACTTAACTTTAAAACAATTTGACACTACCCAAATGCAGTCATCTTTTTTCTTCCTTTAAATAATACTTACTCTTGTTTTATGTTATATTGATTATTTTCAAAATTAGAAAAATTAGGAGAAGAAAAATAAAATCATCTATTTTTTTTTTGCCCACAGAGAATTACTGTTCACATTTTGGTCTATTTTCTTTTATTTGTAAAAATTCTTCTTTCTCTTCTTTTTTCTTTCTTCTTTTCATTCCTCCTTCTTGTTTTTTTCCTCTTACAGTAATTCAGTGATGAGCATCATTGCGCATAACTTTTTAGTGGTATTAAGGATTATTTTATTTGCACAGTATTGTAGGCAATTACTAAAACCCATATATTGGATAAAACAAAAAGTTAAAGAAATTGTGGGGAAAGCATAGCAAGAGTCAAGCGTAATAAAGCCAGAGATAAGATTAATACAAGAAATTCAGTCCACCTATGCTTTTACCTAAAATGGGGACATGAACTTACTTCTTAGCTTCCCTGCAAGCAAGGTAGAGACGAAATCATACTCATATTTGACTTATTGGTACTACATGTTTGAATGTCAAGCACCTTTACATTCCTTAGATTAGTTGGTCATAGTGTATTATTCTTAAATATTACATTGATCTGGCTACTGCCAATCCCTTTCCTATAGTATTGTGGTAAATATTTAGGGTCCACTTATGAGTGAGAACATGGGGTACTCAGTTCTTTGTTTCTGTGATAGATCCCGAGTATGATAGACCTTAAATCCAAACAAGTTGCTGCAAAGTACAAAAGTTTGTCCTTCTTTATGACTGTGTAATATTCCATCATATGTATCATATTTAAAAAAATTATTTTAAAGATGTGGGGTACAATTCAGGGTTAGGTATACAAATATTCATTATGCAGGTACCCTTGTTGATAAGGTGTGTCCCCCTTCCCCTGGCAGTTTCCCACTACTACCGATCCTGCCCCTACTCTCCCCTGGTAGTTTTTCACTACTGCCAATCCCTTTATGATAATTGTTTAAGGTCTGCTTATGAATGAGAACATATGATACTCGGTTCTTTTCTTCTGTGATAGAGCACTCAGTATTATAGATTCTATGTCCATCCAAGTTGCTGTGAAGTTCATTATTTTGTCCTTCTTTATGACTGCATAATATTTCATCGTGTATATGTACCACTTTTTTTAGTCCAGTCCTCTTTTGATGGGTCGCATAGTTGGTTCCATGCTTTTGCTATTATGAGTAATGCTGCAATAAACATGCATGTGGAGGTGTCTTTTCCATAGAGTGACTTTGAGTTCCTCTGGGTATATTCCCAGTAGGGGGGTTGCAGGGTTGTATGGAAAGTCGATTTTTAGATCTTTTAGGAATTGCCACACTGTTTTCTACAGAGGCTCTACCAGTTTACACTCCCACCAACAGTGTAGAAGTGTTTCTTTTTTCCCGTATCCTCTCCAGTATCTGTTGTTTTTTGAGTTATTGATGGTGGCCATCCTAACTAAAGTTAGGTGGTATTTCAGTGTGGTTTTAGTTTGCATTTCTTTGATTACTAGTGTAGCTGAGCATTTTTTAAATGTATCTGTTGGCTGCTCATATGTCTTCTTTTGAGAAGTGTCTATTCATCTTTTGCCCACTTTGTAATGAGGCTGTTTGTTTTTTTCTTTTTGGCATGTTTGAATTCCTTGCAGATCCTAGATGTCAGGCCTTTGTCAGATATATAGTTGGCAAATATTTTTTCCCAATCTGTGGGCTGTCTCCCCACTCTCTCAATGGTTTCGTTGGCTTTGCAGAATCTTGCCAGTTTGATGAGGTCTCACTTGTCTATCTTATCTCAAAGCATGGGCACTTGGGGTTTTGATCAGAAATTGGTTGCCAGTTCCAATTTCCATGAGGGTGTCTCCTGCATTTTCTAAGATTCTTATAGATTGAGGTTTTACGTTTAGGTCTTTGATCCATTTAGAGTTGACTTTTGTGTGTGGTGATAGTAGGGGTCTTGTTTTAATCTTCTGCATGTGGTCAGCCAGTTTTCCCAGCACCATTTACTGAATAGGTTCTCCTCTCCCCAGTGGTTGATGGTCTAAGATGAGTTGGTTGAGAAATTCAGGTTTTGCTTCTGGAATCTCTATCTTGTTCCCTTGGTCTATATGCCTGTTCTTGTAGCTTTACCAGGTTGTTTTGATTATTGCAGGTTTATAATAAAGCTTAAAGTCTGAGAGTATGATCCCTCCCACTTTGATTTTTTTGCTGAGAATTGTTTTGGCTATTCGTGGTTGTTTATGTTTCCATATGAATTCCTGTATTATCATTTCCAGGTCTGACAAGAATGCTGCTGGTAATTTAATGGATATTGTATTAAATCTGTAGGTTGCCTTGGGCATGATGGACATCTTAACAATGTTGATTCTTCCAATCCATGAGCATGGAATATTTTTCCATTTTTTGTGTCATCTTTGATTTCTTTGAGCAGTGTTTTGTAGTTTTCTTTGTAGAAGTCTTTGAAGACTCTGGCTTTTCATTTTTTTGTGTGGCTATTATGAATGGGATTATGCTTTTTATTTGGTTCTCTGCCTGTTTGTTGTTGGCATATCAGAATGCAACTGTCTTTTGCACCTTTATTTTTGTACACTGAGACATTGCCAAAGTCCTTTATCAGTGCCAGAATGTTTTTGACAGATTCTCTTGGGTTTTTGAGGTATAGAATCATGTCATCTGCAAAGAGGGATAACTTAACTTCCTATTTGGATACGCTGATTTCCTTCTGTTGTCTGATTGCTCTAGCTAGGACTTCTAATACTATGTTGAACAGGAGAGGTGAGAGTAGGCATCCTTGTCTAGTTCCAATTTTCAAGGGAAATGGTTCCGGTTTCTGTTTAGAAGTATGTTGGCTATGGATTTCTCATGGATGGCTCTTACTATTTTGAGGTATGTGACATCTATGCCTATCATCTATGCCTATCATCTATGCCTATCACCTATGCCTATCATCTATGCCTATCATCTATGCCTATCAAGGGTTTTTATTAAGAAGAGGTACCAGATTTTATCAAAAGCTTTTCCTGCATCTAATGATATAATTAAGTGGTTCTTGTTTTTACATCTGCTGATGTGTTTCATTACATTAATGGTTTTGTGAATGTTGAACCAGCCCTGCATCCTGGGGATGAAGACTACTTGGTCATGGTGTATGATTTTTGAGGTGTGTTGTTGGATCTGGTTTGCTAGAATCTTGTTGAGGATTTTAGCATCTATGTTCATTAAGGATATTGACCTGTAGTTCTCTTTCTTTGCTGGATCTTTATCCGGTTTGCGTAACAATGTGATGTTAGCTTCAAAAAATGATTGGGGGAGAGTTCCATCTTTCTCAATTGCCTGGAATACTTTCAAAAGGTTTGGTAACAGCTCCTCCTCATATGTTTTAGAATTCTGCTGGTAAGTCATCTGGTCCAGGGCTTTTTTTGTAGGTAGTTTCCCTATGATGGAGTTGATTTCTGGGTTGTTATTGCTCTATTTCGTACCTCAATGTCTTCTTGTTTCAACCTTGGGAGGTTGTGTTATGTCAGAAAGTCTTCCATTTCATTTAGGTTATTGAGTTTGTTTCCATACAGGTGTGCATAGTAATCTCTGATAATCTTTTGTATTTCTTTCAGGTCAGTTGTGATTTGATCTTCTGCATTTCTGATTGTGTTTATTTGGGCTTTTTCTCTCCTTCTCTTGGTCATTCTGGCTGGGGGTCCATCAATCTTGTTTATCTTTTCAAAGGACCAGTTTCTTGTTTCACCAAATTTTTATATAATATTTTTGTCTCTATATCTTGTATTTGGCCTTTTATTTTGGTGATCGGGATTCTTCTGCTGAAGTTAGGGTTTTGGTGGTCTTGCCTTTCCAGCTCCCTTAGGTGATTTGTTAATTTGTGATCCATTTTCTTGATGTGTGTTTGTAGATTTATAAATTTCCCTCTTAGTACTGATTTCATGGCATTCCAGAGATTTTGGTAAGATGTTTCTTCATTTTCATTTGCTTCCAGGAGTCTTTTAATTTCTGTTTTGATTTCTGTGTTGACTCAAGAGTCATTCAGCATCATGCTGTTTAGGGTCCAGGTCTTTGTGGATTTTGGGGGAATTTTGTGTGGTCGGAGAAGGTGCATGGTAGTATTTTGATCTTAGGAAATTTGTTTATACTTTATTTATGGATGAGGATGTGATATAACTTAATTCTATGTGGTTATGAGTAGAATGTATATTCTGTGGTTGTTGGGTGGAGTGTTCTGTAGGCATCTACTGAGTCCATTTGGTCAAGCATCAAGTTGAGGTTCCAGATCTCTTTGTTGATTTTTTGCCTCAATGATTTATCTAGGGTTGTTAGTGGGGGCATTTAAGTCCCCAGCTATGATAATATTTGAGTCAATATGTTTTTAAAGTTTACTTGGTAGCTGCTTTATAAATACTTGTTCTCCTTTGTTGGGTACATAGATGTTTAAGATGGATATTTCTTGTTGATCGAACCTTTTATCATTATGTAGTGTCCTACATAATAACATAGAGGTTGCACTAATTTACATTCCCACC